TAGTATTTCATATTTCAGTCTTCTCTCAAACATTTAAGTGCCCATATTACACTATTTTCTGACCTGTTATAATATTGTGAATGTAGACAGACAATATTGGTTTAAAATAAATAAAATACAAATCCAATTGCAATGCTAGTCAGATGAAATTGTAATTCCAAAATACCAAAATTCCAGTATCCCATCTCCAATTTAAGTTCCACAAGATAAACTAACCACATGATTATTGACACTGGGTTGATGAATGTTCAATAGTCTTTTACAGTTTTGTTACATGTGTCTAAAATCAAAGACAAACTGTAGCTTTTGTTTTGATACAGTTTGTTATTTGCAGTACCAGGAAACAGTGCTCAGTCTGTCGTCACCAGCTTCAGAGAAACTCCAACACAATGAAATGTCAGAAAATATTAAACCGAACAAAACAAAGAGAAAATTTTTGCTGGAACTGATGACAGGAAAACCAAACATCCTACATCTCCTTTGTTTTTCAGACACTAAATCTTTATATAAAGAACCGAAAGTTAGAAAATAATATATGTCATGAATTGGAAATGGATAAACTGGAATGCTCCCAAATGCTTTTACAAATTTAGGATGGGCCTGAAATTATTCTTGTTATTTATGATGTCTACCAATTGTATTATATAAGGTAGTATGGTGGTCCACTACCTGCTTTTCACCATGAAGATTTGCTCACATTTATTCAATTGTGTTTTGAATGCTCAAAAAAAGGTCAGCAGCGTCGTCTCTCCACAGATGTGACTAGTAAGTTTGATGACATAGTGTAAAACAAGGGTTATGGGAAGGGATACGCTTCTCCTCTGCCTGAAATGACGCGCTATACGGCTTCGCCGACTCCAGTGCAATAACAGATTGTTTTCCCGACACAGCCGCGACTCCTTTTCGAATTATTTTGCCAAAAATGGCCAATACAGAGAATGTGATACACGGAGTTCAGAGCGAGTACCAATGTACAAACGTGTCACTGCACAGTGAGTCAAGACTGAGGGTGTGTATCTATGTTCCTTGGGCTCAGATGACCTGGAGCGGGGAGTGATGTTAGGTGCCTCGGCTTGAGAAGCGCTTTCCCCAGGCAAAACCAAGTGTGCGGAGGAAGGACTGCTCAGCATAACCCCCCCCCCAAAAAAAAGTCACATAGTACAAATTTAACTATATGAAAACATTGACTAATCAGGAAACATTTACACAATATTTTGAAATGTATAAGCAAAAAATGTAGTTACAAAACTCTGAATCTAGTAAGTATGAAGTCTTACCTTAAGCACTTCTAGGAATCATTGTCAGTGTAAATAATCCGTGTTGTGTCTCTTTACTTTACTGTTATGAGAACATATGTCTATGTGACAGTTTAAGGATGAAAGCTGTTTGTTCTCTTTTGTCGTGTCATCATTGTGTCTTAGTCTTTTGTTTACACGTGAAACTGCTCCGTGTTAAAACAAATTAGTTTCTTTTTATATCCTCGTCACCTAAATGAGGGCCCCTGGGAGGCATTTGGACACAGCCAACAGAACAGTAAAAATAAGCAGAAAGGTAATTAAGTTTCTAAAATGTTTCTGTTGAAAAGTACAAGCAATCATAATCTCAGCAGGGCATATGGGAGATACTTTGCTAAGACGAGTGGAGTGTGCAATGCAAACATGCAGGCAAAAACTAATATTCCTGCTGCCTACGTTACGAACTAGATTTGAGATTTGCTTCAAAGTCTGATGAGATGATTAAAGGTGCATTATGTAACTTTTTAGTGGGGCATCTGAGGGCTGAAGAAGATAGTTTGGCCTTGATTGTTCCACAGAATTACATTAAACCTTATTCAATTCCATCTGTTTTTAATACAAGTTTTTTCATCTAACCTGTAACTGTGCTGTCATCAGCTTGTTTCCATGGAGACAAGTTTAATGCAGTGCTATGGAACATTTAAAACACTAACATCAAGCAGGTAGCTGATTACCCCTAGAAAAGTTAAAAAGCTTTAAAGGTGAACTGTGTAAGTGGTAAATGGTCACATTTTTATATAAAGCTTTTCCACCTTCAAGGCTCTCAAAGTGCTTTTACATCAAGGAACCACTCACCCACTCACACACAGACACACACACACACACACATACACACACACTCACATACACAGTCATGCACAAGTGTACACGGACACTGGAGGCGAGGTAAGCAAAGTGTCTTGTCCAACAAGTGAACGTCAGCATTCATTGGAGCTGGAATCACACCATCAACCTGTGGGCCAGTAAATCTGACCACTCAACCAATGATGTTTATGACGAGAGTGGGATTCAAACTGCCAACCTTCAGATCAGCGGACAAACACTCTAGTTCAGGCGTCTCCAACCTGTAGCTCGGGAGCTACCAGTAGCTTTCCACCCTCTTCCAAGTAGCTCGCCAAAGGATTTCTGAATTATATGTACTGTGTTTAACAACTAAAATCTGATTAATTACCATTGTAAATGTTTCATTTTGATGCCAACTTGTGCACTAATAAATGGATAATGGTATATGTTTAATAGGCATCTAACTGTACCCCGTCCAAAGCATGCCAGAGATCTTCTTGTTTCTTAATTTCTTGTGACAGGGAAAATTAGTAACTCTCTGGCATTGTCATTTCATGAAGGCAGTTCACCAGAGAAAAAAGGTTGGAGACCCCTGCTCTAGTTTTTCTTAGAGTTCACATCTCACTAAGATGGGCTGAACCAGCCAGGAATGACCACACAAGTCTAAAGTAGGAAAATAATAAGGAAAATCATGAAAATAATATGCCTTTGTGTAAAATGTGCTATTTCCTAATAAAAACTCAAGTAAAATGCATTGTGATATATTTAATTTCTTGTGGTTATTGTGTCAGCTAATGTTGCTATTTCAATATTTTTGCTATATATCGTCTAGCCCTTAGGTAAGCATTACTACAAACTCTTAAAACAGGCATCGCTTACAGCTGCTGTGGGGCTGAGAAAGAAAACTTGTAATTCAGTTTGTCTGCTTTTCACTTCTGTTCCTCCAAAACTAAAGCCCCCCCAATGTCCCCCTTATTAAAACCATATGATAACGCTATAAAGCCATTGTTTACAGTATCCCCAATGTTTATCTTTGCCTTTGAACCAACTGAAACCGTCACTCACAACATTAGACCCTGGTTTCTGTTTTAGATCAGTTATCATCAGACTGACTGTATCAAGCGTTCAGAATCAAAGACACGTTTGATCGCAGAAGTATTGTTCATCATTCACAAAGCGCAGAAACAAAGATAAAGATACATAAACCACATGTGGAAAGAAAACATGCTTTATGTTTAGAAAGAGAAAGATCTATTCTGAAACTACAAGCAGCTGGCAAACTAGAGAGGAAATGCACTCCAAAACTAGAAACATTTTTAGTTTTATGGTAGCTCTGAAAAACCTTGTAGCATTTTCTAATCATAATAAGATACAGTCATTTTGAAGTTAGTGAACTATAACTTTTCTGATGGATTTCTACCTGCTTGTCTCCATGGAGATGTTTTTTACGCTCTGCCTAAAATGTTCTAGCCAGGCTGGCGCCACCTAGTGCCTTCGCTCAATTTCATTTCTCTCCAGTGACTAGGTCAGGAATCAAATACACTAGATGGTTCGCAAAAAAAACAGAAGTGTGAGAAGAAGAAGTGAGTTTGGGCACCAGCCAATCAGCAAAGAGAGATACATTCTGTGTTGGCAACGATTCCCGAGATCGAGGATTTAAAGCCAGAACAACGAGAATGTTTGGTGAAATTTATCAAGGGGAAAGAAGTTATTGCAATTCTTCCTACGGGATTTGGGAAAACCTTAATACAGCAGTTAGCCCCGTTAGCAACGCATTACATAAGTCACGAAAAAAAAGTAACCACCTATCATCGAGCGAACGAATTCTAACGGTCAGACAAAGTGAAACCGGCTGATGAATCAGGCTAAGAATGTTCCACAGTATGGCAGTATTATACTAATCTATTTACCATTTATTTAACTGTCAAGTGTTTTTTATAGTTCAAAAACACATATAAAAACACGCATTCTTACTGTGAGTCAGGACGACTCTCCACAGATTTGACTTGTAACTTGGCTTAGTGGTGTAACTTGGATAGAGGAGATTCCAGGCAAAGCAATAACACCTTTGAGACAGAGTGCACCTTTGAAAAACAAAAATCTAACCTTTTTAAACTTCTTAAATAAAGTTTGCATGCACCCACTAAAGCTGAAAACAAGGAACAGGATATGACAGCCTCTAATCATGCCAACACCACAGTACAAAGCTCCTATTACTCGGGAATGTACTACAGCATTGAGATAAAAGCGAACGTGTCTCTGGGGATGTGAATGATATTATGAGATTACATAATATGTGTTTAATGTTGATTTTGGAAGAGTTTGATGCGAGGAAGTGGGCTGGACAGATGACAGATTTACATAGGAGGTGCATTGTTATGTCTGAGCCACTGAACCTGTCACGTCTGATGCAAATGATAAGAACAACTTCAGAAGAAATAGAAAATATAAAGGGGGAAAGCAGCTACCTGAAAACTTCATAGAAAACTTATAACTTACCAGCTCATCTAAATTATACAAACTGACTAGACTTTTTTGCATTAAAAACCGTGTGACCTGTATCTAAAATAATAAAAATGCAAGACTTCAGCCATGGCATTACTCCATAGTGTCCAGACAATGTTCCTATCACATAGATTTACAAATTTCTCTACTTTTTTGCTATGTTAGTCACAGTTTTTTCGTTCTACAAGACCTATATCACAATGGTACACAATGTCTTAAAATTGGCTACTCCAAAATTTTGTCATTTTGCCGTTTCTGACCTAAAATCTTCAACAAAATTCCTAATCTAAGCCTTGGCACTTTTAGTTAATTAATAGTGAAACATCAAACCACTATTTATGCAATGAGGTTTAGCCAGATAATTATTAATATTACTGAAGTTGTATGTTAGAGAATAAAAGCTTGAGGACAGTTTACCATGCGCGCTGCAGGAGGAGTGTGGACTGTCCGGAGCAGCTGCTGTAAGGTCCGCTGTAAAATCCGACCAAGCCGCGATGTTTTCACCTAAAATATCTCTCAAAACGTAGCTATGAACTTTTCCGTGTTTCCGATCGTTAGGAAAGCTGTGGAAAAGACATTAGTTCTTGCTTCGGTGCCCGTGCGTGCTGCAGTGGAGAGTTGAAGCGTTTGTTGTTGAGGAAAAGCAGGAGTGGACCAGACGCTACTTGAGTTTTGGAGCGACGTGAGGTCAGCGTCAATGTTTATCAGTACTTCCGGTGAGGGCTTTCAAAATTAAAACATCGCTGTGTTAGTAATAAAATACAATAATTCCGCGGACAAAATTAAACGTCAAAAGATAACATCTGTTCATCGGTCCACATTTTAATAGATTTTGACTTTAGTTTCAAACTGTAAAAAATATATATATCCTCGGAAAATTACGTACTATTACTGCACAAAATTACTTATTTTTCCTTCCTCTTTAGTGTAGCTATGTTTTACGGTATCCTATAAAACAAGGTTAGCCCAAAGTGTAATAATTATGCTATAGACTTTATTGTTATACAAGGGAAATTATTTGGACACTATAATTCACACATCACAATATAATATAATAACAAAGAGCAAAAATATAAATGGTAATAATAAATTCAAAATAAGTAGGAAAAAATAGCAAGAGACTGGTTTCAAATAGGGCATAACTATAGAATTATAAAAAATAAAAAAAATTAAAAAAAAAAGTAAAAATGATCAGAATAACAATAATATGACGGATGTGCATTTATTTACCTTGAATGTTTTTATATTATTTTCCATAATTTTATTCATTTGTTAGGCCGATATGCGTAATGGTTGCTATGGTTATGGTTAATGACTGTCGTTACTGATCCATAAAAGCTTTTATTCTGAAGGGCAGTGTTCCGATGTAGTCCTACGCGCGTGCTCTTAGACTCACCTGAGCTTGTTTCTCTGAGGGCAGCAATGGTACTCACAGTATGTTTTGTTCTGTCCAAACCTCCACTAATTTAGGCCAGTTTAATTATATATTTACATGACACACTTATTAGGTTTAGGTTAGTAATTAGGCCCACATTAGCTCACAATAAAATAGCCTAATCAAAATATAAATAAGAAATATATGGCAAACAATAATTTCACAAGTGGCACATGCTGAAATCCACACCTAGATAAGGCTTATGTTTGAGTAATGTGCAATAAGCAACCACTGAAACTCAAATATTTGGGGAATGTGTGTCATTGCTGCTTTAATAACAAAACAGGTTGGATTGGTACAAGCCACAACAGAGTTTTTGGATGATCCTAGATTCCCGTCTTGAACAACCAGTTCTAGCTCTGTTTTCTAAATATGTAAAACAAGGTCACATAGACGGAACATGACTCAGAGTTTGACATTTTATTCCCACAGCTGTGAAAAGGGAAACAGTTTTGATAACATGGACTGATTTATGATGCTTCCTAAAAACAAATTCCTCACTTTTACTTCTGCCTATCAAACAAAACATTCGTGCAGTTTGAATGTTTGAAAGTTGTTGTTGTAACTATCTTACATTTATTCAATTTCAGGTGTTTTCATTGCTAAACAAATAACTTGAAAAACATGCATTCTTATTGGTCACCTCTCCACAGATCTGACTCGCCACAGGAAGATAAGCTGAATACTATTGTGTAACATTACAGGCAAAGCAATAACATCTCCATGGACACAACAAGCAAACCCTCCACCAGAAAAGTTGCACAGTGCATCTTTAACTATTCACAGATTAATTCAGTTCACTCTTTCTTTGTTGTGCTTTGTCAGTGCACTATCCACTTTATAAGGAAATTGGATTCACTTGGTCCATTTATGCAGCTAAGAATGTTCAGTAAAGTGGACTGGAGGGAAGGCTCTCAAATTGGTCTGCACTTACCATAGACCCAGTGGAATCCGAGAGGGGCTGTTATGGTAATTGATAATTGCGTGGCTTGAAAACTATGCGTATGTTGATAATGAGTGAATTAGGTCTGTAGTCAGTGGAGCACATGCTGTTCCTCTGCTCTTTGGAAGTCCCAGATACCTATCTTTGCCTTGAACAGCGGTTTATCTGCACTTAGGCTGTTGTGTGGAGCAGTAATGACCCCATAGTTAGTCCACAGAGCATGGCCGTGAGCTTGTTTTATTCATAAACAAGCTGGAGGGAGATAATTGGACGAAAAGTAATTGCTGTTTACTGTGGTAGGTTACTTGTACATAGACTGAATTTACTGAATAGTAAAAGTGTAAAAATTTGTATTAACAAGATGTAAAATAATAGTTTTAGACCGAGTTGAGGACTTGCAAGTCGTGACTTGGACTTGAGTCAGACTTGAGAGTTGACTTGATAAAATGGACTAAGACTTGGGACTTGACTTGGACGTGAAGATCAATAACTTGGGACTTGACTCGGACTTGAGGCCTGTGACTTGAGAAGCACTTTTAAATTTGAATTCTTTCTATTCTGACCGTAACGATTCAAACTAAGATCTTGTCAATGCCGTGTCTATTTAAAAAGGAAAAATGAACTAAATTAATTTCTACACCTCTTATATAATCTATAAATACTCATATATAAATATACTTTGATTTTTTAAAGTATAATTTAGTTTAAAATTCATATAAATTTCAAAAATCTAAGCTCTATTTGGTACTTTGGTTTAAAGACTTGAAATGACTTGAAGCTCAAAGCAGATGACTTGGACTTGACTTGGACTTATGGACCAGTGACTCAAGACTCGACTTGGACTTGCCTGTATTTGACTGGGGACTTGACTCGGACTTGAGGTCAAAGACTTGAGACTTATTTGAGACTTGAAAAACAACTACTTGGTCCCACCTCTGGTTTTAGATGATCACAACATTCTGTAGGTCAAAAATATTTAATAGAGATGGAGGTAGCTAAAATAAATATTGTTAAAATGCAATGTTATTCACTAATATAAACAATATTTCATGGTTAAGACATTGTTATCAACTGGTTCTTTCCCCCCATCTGGCACTGTCATTTTAATCTGATAACCACCAATAGTCCATGATTTAGATGAGTGATTTCCAAGCTGTGGTCCAGGTACCCTCAGCAGTACAAAGAATGAGAAAGAGGTTATACAACGGCAGTAGATGTATGCGCGGGACGGAATTTTCAGACTCATTCCTGCCCACACCTGCATTGTGCAGTCCTGCATCTGCAAAGAATTGTAATTTTCAAACCCGCTCCTGCCCGCAAATCCCTCAAGATGTGGACGTTCGCTTTCTTAAGCTCTATCAAACACGGAGAAGCAGAAAGGAATTGTCTAAAATGTGCGCAAGATTAGACCACATCTGCAAATTTAGGCATCTTAAAATGTTTTTATTAATGCCAAATAAAATATCCAGCACAAATGATGTATGATAGACAGACATTCATCATTTGTATATTTTACTTTACACTCATTTTTAGTTTGTGGGACTGCAGTTTATCATCCCACCCGCCCGCTCCCGCATTGTGTAGTCCGCCTCCGGCATGCGCCCGCAATGAGTTTTCAAAATGTGTCCTGCACCGCACTGTTTTGTGTCAGGTCCCGTGGGTTCTAAAAGGAAGTTATAGGAAAAAAAAGTTTGGGAACCACTGCTTTAGATTGTGCTTTATTGTCATATGTAAAAGAAAACTGAGTAGGTCTAAGTAAAATAATAAATGCGATACAATGCAGGCAGACAGAGGATGTGAAGTAGTGCAACAAATGGTTTTGTTCTGCTCTTTGCATATCTAGGGCACTCAGAGCTACTTGGTATTTTAAACAGTACTTTGACACAGAGGCGCCTACTGAATACTCCATCTCATTATGAAGTTCCCATTCAGTCTGTACACAATCCCCAACACTGTTTCAACGTGCTGTGCTATAGGCTTTTATAAACTCGGTATTGAAATGTGCATTAAGCTTCAGTCCCCCGACTTGTTTACATTTTTTTTTTTTATAGAGAACATGCTAATTCTGCTAGAGTAATTTGTGGTCCACACTCCTGCATTTCCTTGCAACTCCAAATTGTCCCTATAGACTCTTTTCCGAATAATCTGAGAGTCCATTTCCTGGATGGGTACTTGGGATTTTCCATTATGATGAATAAGTCCAGTGGAAGCCAAGGAAAAACTTAATAAAGTACAATTACATTTACCACAAATCAGGTACTCAGTGTGTGCCTGATATTCCCATTGGTGTGTTTTGCATTTGATTTAAATGTTCCATAATACGGGCTGATTCTAATGCTTAAACAAATGCTTTTTTTCTCTCTTCTGGAACATTCTTAGCCTTTTGAAAGCAACACACTCTACTAAATATTGTTCAGCATCATTTATATTCACGTTTGGTTAATAGAAGCAAATTTCTACATTTAAAGTGCACACGACAGGTTAGACTGATCATTTCACTAAAGCATAGTTAAAGGGGCACTACTTTTTAACTTTTCTTTTGGGGTCTGTTACCTGCTTGTTATCATGGAGATGTTCCACAGTTTGGCATTAAATTCGTCAAGCTTTTTATTTTTATTTCTTAAAAACCGATACATTGATAAACATGTACTCTTACTGTGACGTGGCTCTGCTCTCCACAGATCTGACCTCTAACTTGATATGTTTAATGTCATACGGTGGAACATTATTAGCCTGATTCTTCAACCAGTTTCACTTTGTGGAAACTGTCTGACCTAGCAGCATTAGGATTCATTCATTCAACAGTAGGTGGGTACTTTTTTGTTTAACCAGTCGCTGCTATTTGTTCGTGAAGTATGTAATGCTCCGGTAACAGAGATAACTGGTATATTAATCTTTTCCCAAATCCCATAGGAAGAAGGACAATAACGTCTTTCCCCTTGATAAAATTCACCAAACATTCACTTTATTCTGGCTTTAAATCTTCGATCTCAGGAATCTTTGCCAACACAGAATGTATGGCTATTCGCTGATTGGCTGGTGCTCGAACTCACACTTCCGGGGTTTTTGTTTGTGTATTCAGATTCCTGACCTAGTTGCTGGAGAGAAATGAAACTGAGCGGAGGCACTAGGGGGCGCCAGCCTGTCTAGAACATTATAGGGAAAACAATAAATGATATCTCCATGGAGACAAGGAGCTAGTGGACCCTCATCAGGAAAAGTTATACATTGTAAGTATTGTTTTTCTGGCCTAGTTTTTTCTTTTTTTTTCTTTTTTATT